CTTTTCTCCTTTCAGTGAATTGTGCAATACTCGTGGCCTTTCATCATATGACTTCCTCCTCCAACACGTACAACACGCACCACACACACCACACCGTTGCTCCTAGCCCCAAGGCCACACCCAGCCTCACGGAGCTCTTCTCTTTCCTGAAAACCTGCCCATTTCACTTGATCTTCTCTTTTCCTGAAATGTTCCTTCCCTAATAAGCACCTACTCTTTCTCCACAGCCTGGCTCAAAGGCTACCACCTCTATGATTTTTCATAGCACTTCCTTATACAGCTTTATTCCACAGCTTACTAGACTGCATTGTGTGTGTGTCTATTTTCCCCCCAGGCTACAGGCTGCTCCAAGAATGGGCAAGTCTGTTGGTCCCTGCAGCCCCAGCATGGTGCTTGCCTCACAGGGGCTGTCAGGAAGAGGAAGCCAGCCCCAGAAGCTGTCAATGAGCAGGCAAAATGGGCCTGTGTGGTGACAAGGGTGTGGAGAGGATGAACTGTTACTAACACTGACTAAAAAATGGGCTCAACTGAAGATCCATAGTCGAAATTCTTATCTCAGACTCCAAGGCCTAAAAACATTTGGTCAAAGACTTTTCCATGAAATTAAAAGAGAAGTTCAATGAATTTCGTTACATAAGCAAAACCCATGAAAGGTAAACTGGGGGTACAAAACCTCAGGAAGACAAAATTTCTTTCATAATGAAATAATTTATTATTTGTTAACAGTTGAACAATACAGAAGTTTACATATACACAGCAAAGATTCTCTAAAACATGTAGTTCCTAAAAATGCATGTGCTAACTGTAATAAAAAGCACCGTTCTCTATGGTCTCGACACAGGATTTACAATGGTGTAGTATTTACATAGAGAAATAAACATCTGGAAACAGAATTCCATACTCTCTCATCTGCTGCTCCTGTTTAGGCTGCGTATACCAGTAGGAAGATGTCCCCCTGCCCAAAATCGACGGTTAACAGCAATGTTCAAAGAGCACCAATTCTAGGGACAAGGGGTAAAGGCAAGTTTGGTTCTCAGGAAAGAGCTAAAGAAGAACCCCCTCAACCCCTAGTAAAATAAAAAATCAAAAGTCTGGATAAATCTTAGAATTGGGTGCCTTATTAATTCTCATCTTATGATTTTCAGAAGACAAAGTTACTCAATTTCTTCAGCCATCCAATTGCTGAATCTAGCAGTGCTGATCAATTATTCCTCTTTTCAGAATATAGTGTAAGAAAAACATCCATGTTATAAATATTGATAATAAAAAAACCATGATAAACGATGTATCATACCCTCCCTGGTATCTTTGAAAACAATATATCCTACAGTCTACAGAGATCCTATCATGTAGAATGAGAAAAAAATTACTTCATCTAAAAGGGTCTTTGGGTCTTCTTCTCCCAGGAAGGATTTTAAAATCAGGTGTAGCCAGCTACCTAAACATGCTGCATCAGAGTCAGATGTAAAAAAACAATAGATTGACATGCAGGAAAACTGCCTTTCAGCCTTTTACTGCCTGGTGTTCAACACACAGGAAGGGTAAAGAGGGAAGACAAAGAAACTTGGGAAAGTAAGAAGAGATAGAAAAGACTCAGATTCAGGGGAATAAACAGATCATAAAGCACAATGCAAGTGGAATTCTTGCCAATACGGTATGGTAGAGAAACCTAAATAATGTGTGTATGTAACAGAGGCTAGAAGGAAAAAAGTCTACAAAATCCATTATCATGCCCCCAAATATTGCTAGATGGTTATTTTAAGCATCACAATTCTGCCTACTTTACACAACCTGGGAATTGCTCTTGGCCACTTTAGGGATGAGGATGAGAGGTCCATAGGAAACCCAGGTCAGGACTCTTTATTTCATGTGAAAAAAGCAGAAGCTAAAGGAAAATGCCCGCCTTAAAAAAAAAAAAAAAAAAAACACCATGTGTTCAGCTGCAGGATCAGGGCCTACTTAACGCTCAATTCTAAATTGACACCGAAATGATTTTGGTTTTGGATTAGCAGAGGGAATCTGAGTCCTGCTCAAAAATGTTATGTTCTTTGAATCACTAAACTAGCGTTAGATCCAGCATTAGCTTTCAGCACCCTGAAGAATCAAGATCTCTGCTTAGCAAAAGAAAAGCAAAGAAGGAACACCATGGGTGCTAGCCTGCCATTCAAAGGCAACAAGGGATGGAAGGCTCCGTTTTCTGGGATGTGAATAAGAAGCACACATATCTATCTTCTCACAGCATGAAATTAAATTGGACTACAGACTCTATTTTCCCATTTGCATTGCAATGGAATCAACAGGAGTGTAGTTCAGATTTCTTTTTTAGTCATTTTAAAATCAATTTTCACATAAAAATATGCATGTGCCTATATTTATACACATCTACATTTACGTACAATTGTCAAAGTCTTAAAGGCTGGGGTTTATAAGCTTTGCCCATCCCCTCCCCCCAACAAACCCTCTTAGAAAGGTTTTTCATTTTCCATTAAAAAAAAAGAAAAGAAAAGAAACCAAAAAACTCTATAGCTCTTAACAGTCATGCTGGTGGATCAGTGAATGAGAGAGGACAGATTGGCAAATCAGGGCTACAGATCAGCCACTTGGGGAGAGGATTAGCTGCCTTGGGCTGAGTTTGCTGGTCCTGAAGGTTACAGTTTTAGTTAGAGAGAAGCCTCCCTCACATGCTGACATGGGCTACCTCGAGCTTTGAAGGTAATTGTCTAACCCTGGTGTCAGTTTATCACAAATGCATTAAAAATATAGAGATCTCTTAAGTTCTACATTTATATGCAATTAAATTGAAAAGGACCAGACAAACAGTGGAAAGGTCAAATAATTACTGTTTTATATTGGGACAGTACATTTCATATTTCAACTGAAAGACAAAAATGCAGTTTAACTCAAAGGCACAACAATTAAAACACAGAAAATGATGGCACCTCTCAGATGCCTTATTTCTAAATTAAACAAACAGGTACACAAATTTTGTTCCCTTCCCTCCCCCAATGCAAGCCCACAAGCTTTTCCCAAAGTCTTGAGTTCCCGATGCCATAAAGCATCCATCCTCATGGACTTGTGAGGCGCTTGAATGTAGCAATTAAACAAAATGCTTGAGAGGTCTAGCGAATGGCATTCGAAAGGGACCTCAAAGTGCAGATACATCTTTTTCAAACATGTTACAGGCTGAGCTGGCTCTTTGAACACTATCACTCTGCTTAAATTCAGGAAACAGGCTTTAAAAATGCAAAAGGCATACAAGTTGTATTTCAGTGCAAATCTTCAGCTGGTAATTGGAAAAGATTCCAGCAATAAAAAAATTCTTTTTGTCACCTGTCCCTCCCCCCTCCCCCCCAAAGCTGAAATGAAGAAAAAACAGAACAAAACAAAAACAGAAGAGTTATAGATGACTTTGGAATCATTTAGGAATCCACAACTTCCAATTTAAAAATGTTAAAATACATTAAAGGATCATTGAAAAAAAAAATGTAATCTGGTTTTCTTTAGACTGCTCCTCACCTACAGAACGAGTTTGGGTGTAGAGTGCATTTGAACTTTTGCTTTCGATGTGTGGAAGGTGGAGGTGCTGGGTGAGTCTCAAGGCTGTGGTGTGTGAGAGACTGTGGGCCAGCAGGGGAGCACACGGAGGCTGCCCACCACTGATTCAGCCACTGAGCCCTTAGATTTCAGTGCGTCCGTGGGTTTTAGGAATGTTCTACTCACTTTGTGACACACACTCTGTTTCAACATCACAGATTTTATAAATGGTCCAAATTCAGTGAAAAAGATTAGTCGGAGGCTGAAAACATCAAGCCCTCGAAAGTATGAATGCAAAAATATTAAGGGGGAATGAATCAATTTTGTAGATACCTACGTACAAAGTTTCTAGAACATCTATAAAAGCACAAAGTCATAAGAATTTATTTTCCATTACATTAGTTTATATAAAATGAATAAATAGTATTTATAGATTTCATGTGTCTTATGTACATATACATGTGCTCTGTTTTAGCTTAAATAAAAATGCTACAAAGTGGGAGACCACTTAAGGGAAAAATCATAACCAAAGAAAAATCAGCCTTTTAAACTATCAACCCAAAAGCTTCCATAAGGAAGTTTCTGGGCATGTCCAAAAATAATCAATAAGGAGAGGAATTCTAGTAACACTGTACCATCCCCTCCTGTTCACTTGCAACACAGAGTAGAAATGGGGGCTTTTCCTTTCACTGATGATGGACACCAGCTCAGCTAGTGCCAAAGCTCAGTTATTGCTGAAAGTTAAATAGGAAAAGAGGTTAGAATTGGACCAAATGTCACTTATTGGGGGTAAGGGGAGGGAAGAGAGGCTTAATCACTTTGTGGGAAATGGAGATCTCATTTATCTCTGAGGTAGGAAAAAAAAAATGTTCCAGAGACAAGTAGCGTCAACAGACTTTGAGGGGAAATGTGTCTTGGGACAGCAGTCCACAGCAAGGTCCAAGAACATCGCACAAAAATAGATTGTACCGTTTTGTTTGTGAGAACAAACAACATTGGAACTTGTAGAAGCTGTGCAGCCCTAACGACATGCCATCAAGATGTCCACTGAAAGTGAGAAACGTTGCTCCCCTCCCACACGCAGTTCAGGGGAAACAGCCTGGGCTGAGGGTGAAGGGGCTGTTTTCTGGAGGTATTCCTGACTTCCCCACTGGGTGAGGGCCATGGTTAAGTGCTCTTAAATGCTGCTTTCAAAGCTTACTTTGGAGTTCTGAGATCAGGATCTCAACTTTAGAAGTTTGTTTCCTTCAAGTTTCCTAAACACAAGACACACTTGGACATTTTTGCTAGGCAAGGAACACAGGAAGCCAAAAAACTTCAAGAAAGGTCTGGTGGACTACATAAGGACAGGGAAGAGAGGAGAAATGGCTGAGATGTGAAAGTTGGTTATTCAGTCTAAGAACTCTTGGGTGTTTCAAACTGATTGGAATGTACAGTCTCTCAGAGACGAATTTTTACGGAGAGAAGGTGAAGCTAGAAGATGCATTCAGAAACCCACAATCCTAAGCACTTCCTTTGGAAGTTTTACAAAGCTGATTTTGATAAAGGTGGTACACTGAAATTTACGTGCAAGGGGATTGTGGGAAGGTCCAATACACTACCTAATAAGATCCAACAGGGAGAACCATCAAGGAGGCAGCCACAGCGACCACTATCTCTTATAGACCGAGACACGTCTTGTGATTGTCCTGGAGTTTTATTCTCTTGATGCTGGAGCTGGAGTAGCCCTCGTCGCTGCCCAGGCTCTGCATGCTGCTCCGCTCATCAGAATCACTCACGCTGCTGCTGCTCCAGTCCACATCCCCGGTGAGATAGTCTGTGCTTTCAACGTCAACGTCAATTTCTTCTGTGGGGAGGACAAGAGAGACAGAGAAGTTGGTGAAGGCATTCTTGGTCTGGTTCTAGCTACACCTGGCCAGAAAACTCAGGCTGACACCCAAGCCAACCCAAACTGAACTCTCCCTTGGATGTTATTAATGTGAGCATAGGAAAGAGGGCTCATTGCTGAGGATCTCACTGCTCAGATTTTTTGAATCATAAGCAATTTCCTATTTCCCTGCATGCTCTGTCTCCTGTGAGAAGCACTGGCAGGTGGGAGAGGGAGGAGGTTCAGGAGGAGGCTGGCCCAGGATGCAGGGAGAGGGCTCACCCCTGTCCGAGTCCGAGCGCTCCGAGGAGACCGTGGAGCCAATGCTGTCCATCCGTATCCTCTCAATGCCCAGCTTCTCCAGTTGCCTTTTCAGGTGCCGCTGCTCTCGCTGAAGCTGGTCTATTTGGTGAATGGCTTTTCTGTCGCAATCTTCAAGTTTCTGCAAGTCAAAGAGGTAGTTGTTGGAGCCCACAGGTGGACTTATAAATTGGCAACAACTCCACATCTTCCTCTCTAGCAACGAACTATGCCAGGTTTCCTCAGGAGCTCTGGGTGTGTCAACAATCAAGCTCCTCTCTGGGAAAGGAAGCATGCTGGCCAGTGACTGCTGGCTTCATCTGACTTCTTTAGCATCAAACACTGGGTACTTGTGTCATCACAGGACTCGGGGGGGGAGCTGGGACACTGTGGCATCTAGGACCCCTCAATGTTTATATCAAAGACACTGCAGGCAGGACGCCAGGCTTGGTCTCTCTTGTGTGCAGGACCTAATCACTGAACAAGAGAACTACATGTGACAGGAGCTTAAGAAAGACACTGCCATTTAAAATGGCGTAATTCAAGTCCACGTCCCAATTACATCAGCACTTTTGTGTGTCAGGCCAAATCTCAATTAACTTCTGTTTGTTAGCAGGAAATAATGGTGCCTTTTGAAGTTGTGATTTCAGATTGTCCAACATAGAGCTTGGAAAGCACATTTTCATAGATTATTATTATTATTATTGTTATTATTTTTTACAAATCTGTCCCCTCCTTCTCATATTCTTCAGATAATTAAGAAGATTATTTAATTGTGGTTGTTCTGCTTTAAATAGAGGTTCTTTTCCCCAAGAATTGTCACATGTGTAGGCTACCAACCACATTTAAAGTGTTACTTGTCCTGCCAAGGTACGAATGTGTAAGCATTCTCAACAGTGGTTCTGGCTGCAGTGTTCAGGAATTTGAATACAATTCACCTTACTCTTTGCTTACAAGTTACACACTGAGGCTCTAGTATATGCCAGACTCCCTGTGAGGTGCTAAGGATAGAAGGTAAGCACAAAGACCCGGTCCATTCACTCATGGAGTCTATAATCTAACAATGGAGACAACTAAATAGTCACCAGATCATGTTCAGATTTCAACTGTGACAAGTGCTAAGAGGGAGATACTCAATGTCAGGACCACACTGGGAAGAAGTGACCTAGCCAGGAAGGCAGGGAAGGCTTCCCTGAGCTAGTGTTACTTGCATTGAGATCTGGAGGATGAGCAGCAGTTAACAAGGTTGACGAAGGGAGGAAACAACATGTACGAAGGTCTCTGTGGCAAGAGAGAGTGTGACAAATGCCAGTGATTGAACGGAGGGCAGGGGAGGCAAGGGCACGGGGGTGTCTGGTGCATGATGCTGCTGCAGAGGCAGGCGAGCTCAGGCAGCCTGCTCCTAGAACCTGTCCTGAGCCACAGAAGGGTTTTTAATAGGAGGGCATGTTGAGTTGAGCTTAGAAAGGATCGTTCTGGGGAAGCATGGAGAAACTACTGGAAGGGGCCAGAAGGATAATGTCTTAGGAGTGCTATAGTAGACAGTGGCAGGGTGAAGACAGAAGCTGTGAAATACGCAGGTCTTGGAAATAGCTTAGATACTGAGGGTGAAAGAAGTGGACACCTGTCAAGGATGACTCCTGAAATCCTGGCTTGAAACAGTTGGATGGGACCATTTAAGGTCTGGCATGAGAGTGGGAAAGAATCAGTGGGCATGCTGATTTTTAGGTGCTTGTTATACACCTTAAAGGCAGGGTGGAAGAGCTTGGAGATGTCTCAGAGGAGACGTCTTCCCAGAGAAACAGTAAGGGCCTGGGTTAGGAACATCCAATTTACAGATAACTTGTATTTGCCCTTTAATGTCACGAAGTTTGCTCACTTGAAACAACTGAACCAACCCTTACAACATGTTCCTCATCACAATCACCTTCACTTGCTGCACGTGCAGCTTTTAAATCACTGAAAAGGCTTTAAGCCTTCTCCATTAAAGTAAAGCTAAATAAGAACAGTATGCACCTGTTCCACTTACCTACACCTTTGATTTAAAGACACACTTAGGAACGGATCTTGTTCATAACCCGGGGACCACCTGTATACATTTACTGGCCTCCCTAACAAGAGACAAATGCTTCCTGGACGGGTAAACACAGAAAAGCATCCTAAGGATGCACTTACCTTTATGTGCAATTTGGCTTTTGTTAATAAACTCAACGTAGTGTGTCGACTTGATTCAGGCCCCAGCGGTACTAGCCCCTTCAACTTCTCCAGGCACAAACGAAGATGGGCCCGCCTACAAAAACAAAATCAGTAGCATTTGAGAATTTCACAGTGGGATGGAAGGTACCCTGGGAAGAACACATTCTAAAATACTATGACTATGAAGACTATGAAGTTGCCCAGTGATGGCAAATGCCAACATAGACCTCTTGCCACATAAACATCTTTTGAAACCAGACAACTCTTGTATAAGGCAAGGAGAAGTAAAATCCAAGGTTTTCTAAAGTTAAATCTATTTACAATACAGGTGTCTGATACAGGAACTAATATCTACCATTATAGGCATATTTATTAGGTTATCTAGATTTCTGAGTTACAGTGTGACCCACAGAACATCCAAATTCAGAAAATAATGACATAAAAACTAAAAATCCAAACTCAGTGCCGTTGAGTTGGATCCCACTCACAGTGACCCCTCCTTGGGTTTTCAAGGTGGTATCTCTACAGAAGTAGACTGTCCAACCTTCCTTCCAAGGGGTGGCTGGTGGGTTTGAACTGCCAGCCTTCTGGTTAGCAGTCAAATGCCTTAGGCCCTACGCCAACAGAACTCCCATGCTAGGGTGAAATTCTGTTCAGCCATACTTTTCTTTCCCTATCCAAGACTAAATTACTATAACTATTACCATTGTTGTACACAGTACTTGCACATAGGAATGACATATTTGCATGGTTATTTGTTAGTACTATTTGTAAAATAGGAAAGATTGAAAACAACTCAAATGACTATCAGTAGGGAACTGGTTATAAAAATTATGGTGCATCCATACTGTGGAGTACTATATGCAGCTATCAAAAAAGTACTGTTAATGTCCTCTATGTATGGTTAGGAAAGATCTCCCAGACATATTGTTAAGTGAAGAAAGCAAGACAGAAAACCGTGTATCATGCTATTGTGTATATAAACATGTACTGGGAAAATAAGAATCTCTATTCATGTTTTCTTATATGTGCATACTCAAACTCTGGAATGATACATAAGAAACTAATAACAGTGGTTGGGTAGGAAGAAGGCAGGGGATATAGTCAGGGACAAAAAAGAATTTTCACTGCACAATTTTTTGTACACTTTTTGGTTTTTCTTTGGTAGCATAGTGCCTAAGGCACTACCAGAAGGCTGGCGATTCAAACCCACCAGCCACTCCTCGGAAGGAAGGTTGGGTAATCTACTTCTGTAGTGACACTGCCTCAGAAACCCAAGCAGGAGTTGCTATGAGTCAGGGCTGACTCGACAGCAAATAGCAACAACAACAACAAACCTATAATTATTATTATTCAAAAAGTTAAATAAATACTTTTTTAAAAAAAAAAAAAAGGAAAAAATATGTTATTGGCACAGCTGTACTAGTAAATGTGCTGAACAGTGGGAGGCAACTGCATCTAGGCCTTGGAGCCTGGCAGAACAGCCTGATGAAGGAACAGAGCAAGAGAGGGAAAAAGGCTGGCTGAGGAGGGAGCCACTTGACTCACTGAAGAGGGAGCCTTTAATGACAAACTTGACCAGAAGCACAAGATCCCCTAAATTCTTAGAAACTAATTAACACTACATTAAAACCTTGATTTGAGCTTTATTCTATGTAACTTTAAGCTAAATGCTAGCCTTAGCAGATTCCATGAATATGAGAAATGGCCCAGATTCATTTTTTGCTTAAGCCAACCACCACCTTAAAGCCTTCCCGGGCCACTCCAGCCCATAGTGATTTCTCCATTTTCCATTCATTGGGAAGTTCACAATACTGCCTGAATTATTTGGTATTTGTTACTTAACCATTCACTGCAAACTCCTTAGAAAGCTGGGGCTTCAGCTTAATCATTGCTGTGTTCTCACAGTGCTTTGCACACAAAAATGTTTAAGAAATGTTCGCTGAATGGATTATGTCATCTATTCAACTAGACGTTAAGCTCATAGAGGACAGAGTCCATCTCATTATAGCTTTGCATCTTCAGCAGTGCTAAGGGTCTTGGGAGTTTCCAACCAACGTCCATTGCCTACACACAACTACCTGGAGCAGAACTCCCTGCAGCCCAGGAGGCTACCCTGAAGCTGAACTCTGAGACAGCTGCAGTGCCTTAAAGCTTAGCATGCCCTTTTTTTCTCTCTTAAGAATTTTACTGTCTTAGCAAAAGTTGGAAAGGCAGACCAAAAGAAAGCTGCTCAGAAAGACAGGCCAATTTGCATGATGCCGACCCAAGAGGTCTATTCACATACTCCTGCAGGACTTCAGGATGCTCCCCCAGGCAGATCTGGTAAGTGTCACATTAGACAAAGAAAAATCCTCCTAAGCCCCTTCCTCATTTGGCTCATGAAGGATCCTGCACTCTCCAAGAGCCCACTAAGCCTTGACAAGCTGGAAGAACACAGCATTCATTTCTGAGCCAGGAACATTTAATGATACAAAAATGGCTTACTGTTTGATAAGACAGCTACTTGCTCTGAAAACCTGTCCATATGAAATAGCCACAAGCAAAGACTCACATTAGAAGTCTGCTTCTCCCACTACAGCACGGGGGAAAAAAAAGTGCATGAAATGTGCAATTTTTAACTCTAGCTGAGGGAGATACATGTCTGTTCAGGGGCTTGTGTTTGCTTACCCTGGATAATAATCTTCTTCAAAAAGAGCCATGAACACAGACTATGTTATTAGAAACATCATTGAGAAAGTATAATTTCTCACTTATCCAGCTCTCTAACTTCTCACTACAAAGTTTACAGCCTAATTTTTAAATTAGGGGGGAAAAAAACCTTCAAAAATTTAAATTACATTTAAACATTTTCAGTCTACTTGATATTTGTAAAGACTGTATGATTCAGAATAGTGTCATATCAGTTCTTTTATGACGTGGGTTTATATACAGATATGTATACTCATATACAGATATGACTACGTAAATTTTTTAGGAAGTTTGTCTACTGATACAGATGTAATAAAGTCATCTTTCCATGCATCGTCATTTCTTGTCCCACAAAGAGTCCAGTCTAGAAAGTACAATGTTCACTAACCAAATGTGGATTTCTAAAGAATACCCCCAGTTGTGAAACTAGAAATAGACCATTTGACTAACTCGAGCTGAAGGAAATACATGTCCGTTCAGTGTTTTGTCTTCGGCATGCCCGCCTGGCCTTCCCCAGGGCCCTGCTGCTCTAGCCTGCTGGCTGCCCGGCCCACTGGCCACTTGTCTGCAGACACATCCCCATGCCAGTCCTTGGGCCAATCACAATGGAGGGATGAAGTATACTGAGCAGGTTCAGTTCCACTGTACAGTAGTGAAATTCAGTCTCGGAACTGAATAAAGAAGCAAACAGACCCCTCTGTAACATGTGTAATAGCTCCCATGAAGAATCCCCAATCCTGAAACAAAGATAACACTACACACACACACACACACACATTATGGGATCTGGACCCTTTACCCAGCCCTGAGCACCCATGGAGCTACCAGATCTGAAACAAGTAGAACAAGTACCTGCTCAGCTCTCCTTCTTTAGCCCTGACTATTCCCGTGTGAAGGACTCCAGTCCTTTAGAAGAGGCCTAACATCCCATTTTCAATCAGGCTGAACTCACTCTAGGAAACTAGCAGGGATTTTGCCACACTGGGCCACATATTCTCAACAAGAAGCCACTGGATACCTCAGTCTGACCCCTGCTAGGATCTCCTCCCATCACATCTTCTTCAGCCTCCCCTCAGTTACCAAGAGCTGCCTCCCAGCCCCCTGCCCCCAGCAGCAAGGGGCTGTGCCAAATCCTGGTTCCCTCCTTTCTCTGACTCTTCTTTTTGCACTGATCTCTGGGTGGCACAAATAGTTAACAGCTCCACTACTAGATGAAAAGCTGGTGGTTCGGACCCACCCAGAGGCACCTCGGAAGACAAGCCTGGTGATCTGCTTCCGAAAGACCACAGTCTTAAAAACCACATGGAACATTCTATTTTGCACACATGGGATAGCCAAGAGTCAGAGTAGACTCAACAGCAACTAACTAATTATATACTGCCTTGGACTTAGGTCATGAACTTTGACAAACTTTACTTGCTGACTTTTCAGAAAAATCACTTTAATTATTCTGAATGGACTGATAATAACTTTGGTCTTGAGTAACATAAAGAAACCAATCTTTGATCTGAGCTATAATTGGTAATGCTCAGAATCAAGCTTGACCTATACATAGTGATAACCAGTTTAGATGCAAACTATAGCCTCTCTTAAGTTTTTTTTTTTTTTTTTTAAGTATCCACCAGCCACTCCTCGGAAGGAAGGTTGGGCAATCCTACTTCCGTAGTGATACTGCCTCGGAAACCCAAGGAGGGGTCGCTATGAGTCGGGGCCGACTCGACGGCAAATAACAACAACAACAACAACATTTAATTATTTTTCATTTTCTTTTCTGTTCTGGATCTATCACTTCCCAGACTACAAAATACTAGTGTAGTGATTAAGAGTAAAGGTTTGGAATCCTGCTTTGACACTTACTCCTTGTGTGACCTCAGGCAAACTACTCAACTCCATGCAGCATCAGTAGCGTGAGGATGACAAGGCCTACCTGAGCAGGCTGCTGTGAGTATTAACTGGGACAACGCATGGAAGCCCCTGGCCCAGGGTCTGACTCGGAGTGCTCTGTGTATAGTAGCAATCTTTCTTTCAATCTAGCTTCCTCTCCAAAGGGATAATTACTGTGAGCAAACAGATAATTATAGCACTGTAATATTCCTTTTAAAATCAACAGGCAACTCGAAAGTGTCTCAGTAGGCAAACAGAAGCTCTCTAGTAAAATTCAGTTTACTGACCCCTTCCATAAAGAAAACAAACACCTCGTGCCATTAAAATATTTAATGAAAAATCAAATGCATTTTCCACAGAAACAATGACCTTACTTATGCTCAAAGTCCCATTTTTTACTTTAAAAAAAATTTGCAAGCATTTTATAAAGTTCCTTTGTGGCCATCCACATCATGTACAAAGAAGGGTCAAAGGGATTCTAAGATTGAGAGGGAAACACCTGCCTCACTTCTACCTGCT